AATGTTTCACCCTTGCTGGACTATTGCTAAAAGTTCCGTAAGACTAAAATCACTCACTCATATTACCATACTTTGTCGGCCATATCATGAATCAAAACGTATATTCTACTACTACTACTACTACTACTACTACCACTACTACTACTACTACTACTACTACTACTGCTACTACTACTACTACTACTACTACTACTACTACTTACTACCACTGCTACTACTACTACTACTACTATTACTACTAACCCTAACCCTAACCTAACCCTAACCCTAACCCTAACCCTAACCCTAACCCTAACCCTAACCCTAACCCTCACCCTCACCCTCACCCTCACCCTAACCCTAACCCTGTATGACGTCCATCATTTATGTCTCCCGCTGTTAGAGTCAAGGATTATTGTTAAAATCGGCTTAAAACCCAAAGCAGTAACTAACCCTTTATTTTGTTCCTGGTCAAACAATGCATTTTATGTATTTCCAGGTGATGGCGTATGCTTCAAGAAAGCATCTCTACACAACTGTAGGAGTTCCGTGGGTTCTCTTTCAATAATTCCTGAGCTTGCTACCCGGCTCCACGTCAATGAGACATATGTGGGCATGGTAGATAGAGGCATTCTTCCCGGGACAAGGCATTTAATAAATTTGTTTCCTTGGTTTGAATATCCGTCCTTTGATGTGGCAGAAACTATAAAGTTGAAATATAAATTTTTCACTGTAGCAGTGACGGATACGCCAACTGTAAACTTCAACCGTATGGGCTGGAACATCACCTACTTCTATGATTTCACTTCCGGGAAGTATGAGGCACAGTATAATAGTTTAAATCGGTCAAAACTGAAAATGAATATTACTAAATTTGACCTTACCATATTGTTGGACAGATCATCTTCCGGGGATGTTCTTCTGGATGTTGACACTAAAACTGAGACTTTACTAGGAAGCGCACCGGGGCCGAATCTGAACCAGACAATGTGGATAGTAATTCAACTGTACCTTCCAGCAAACGTGAGACTGAATAAGTCATTTAAACCTCCCAGTAATCTGGAAAAGATATTGTATGGATGGTACCAACATCAAGTCATTTAGAAGACTTTTCCCCCGATACCTTAAAGGCACAATGTCACATATTATCTACAATATTTTGGTCTATATTATATATATTGGGGCATATGGACTCACTTTAACTTCCCATGGATGAAATACAAGACTTATTATTCCCTACGACTTGCCTGAAATCGATAATTGAATTTTCGAGGCGAACAGCTTCCAAACAGAGAACGCTTGCCCTGTATGGAATGTAAACAATTGCTCCATACATCGAAAACTGTCGCACGCAGTGTTGTCGCTGCGTAAGGCTTTTTGCTAGACATTAGCGTCATTTTGGGTAATACTGTGTTCTGTCTCCAAAGGAGTTTTAGAATATTCGTAAAGAGCGCTCCAAGGGACATAACTCTATAGGATTCACATGAAATAATCTTCGGCCGGTAGAGGGCGCGAGAGTCGATTTAATGCAACGTTACATTAATTCATTCGAACTTTTAATTTAATATTGTAATCTAAATTCGTAATTTGGGGGGGGGAGTACATTATGTGGTAGCTTCTCTGAGATTTAGTAGTATGGTTAGTATTATCTAGAGAAATACATTATATATTTTTGGAGAAGTGTGGTGTGATAGAGTGCAAGTGTGACGCATGGTGCCTTTGTGTGTTGATGATTGTCCACGAGACACACACTTTTAGACTGTGTTGACACGGCTTTGATACGTGAAACATATTTCAACGTTTCTACTTTCAAAAGCAACTTTTTCACACAATTTCTCACATAGAAACGACGAAACCCTTTCCACATCCATAAGAAAGCTCTGCTTAAAGCAGAGCCGTTTGTACAATTGTGTCTTTATCTTGAGTATATATTTGTTTCAGCAGTATTACAGTAGCACGATGTTGTTTGTAAACAAATGGCGTCTGGACCAGACAATCCAGTGATTTTTACCATGGGATACGATTACAGAGCATGTATTTACGTGTATGTGTTTAGCCATACGGTTTTATCATGTTTATAAGAAATCGGTCTTTATGAAAAGATATAGCTATTAGCAAATCTGATATATATCATCCTTTCAGTACTTTTCGTTATGTGCACATGCTGGAGGGACGGTATGGTAGCATAGTGATTAAAGCGATCGCTTGTCACGTCAAAGGCCCAGGTTAGATTCCCCACATGGGCACAATGTGTGTTTCTGGTGTTCCCCGCCGTGATATTGGTGGAATATTGCGTAAAACCCATTTAACTCACTCACATGTTGGAATTCATAGTTACTGGTTCTCGGTATCTTATGTAATCAATACTTGTCGTAAGAGGCGACTTAGTGGATCGGGTGGTCAGGCTCGCTGACTTGGTTGACACATGTCATCGTATCCCAATTGCGTAGATTGATGCTCATGCTGTTGATCACCGGATTGTCTGGTCCAAACTCGATTATTTATAGATCGCCGAAATATAGCTGGAATATTGCTGAGTGCGGCATAAAACTAAACTCACTCACTCACGTGTTTTCCAGTAACTTTTTCCTAACTTTTTTGTATGTTATTTGAGTTACATTTGGGATTACATTTCCTTGGTAAAGTACAGATTCTAGTACTTTTGAGGGGTTAAGTCCCATCCGGGATTCGAACCCACACACACAGAGTCAGGCACCTAATCGCATGCACACAAAGTCAGCCGCTTAACCCGCTCAGCCACCACGACTTCCACAAATTGCATTGTGTAATCATGTTATTTGAGGTCTAAACCAGCTAAAGATCAGTTGTAACCCGGATCTTCACTGGTCTTTTTCCCACCTAACTCTGTTACATATTTAAAGTATGTTTGTCATTTTAGACTTCGCGGACGTTGCTTCATGTCAATGGTATATTATGATTATCCCATCTATAACATGTGCTATTCATGATGTTTTATGTATTTTCATCAGATGTAGTATATTTTCTTTATAACATATCGTGTATTTAGTGAATAGAACAACGGGAATAAAATTTTATTTTGGAAACTGAATACATTTATCTGTTGTGTCTATTGTCGATGCGGTTTTGTGACAGTACCGGGGAAAGATCTCTGGTGTATAAGTTACATGTGGGAACGCATCCGTAATGACTGCTTTTAGAGTCCCGGGAGAAAAACTCAGGTATATAACTTAAATGTGGCAACGCATCTCTAATGACACGTTTGGCGCACACGTAACGTAGCGGTACACAGGCATTGTTACCAAGACAAAGCTCTGGCTTGTTGTGCCGTGAAGATCCGGGTTAGAATTTGTGTTCAGTAACCCATACTTGTCGTAAGAGGCGACTTACAGGATCGGGTGGTCATGCTCGCTGACTTGGTTGACACATGTCATCGTATCCCAATTGCGTAGGTCCATGGTCATGCTGTTGATCACTGGATTGTCTGGTCCAGACTCGATTAATTACAGACCGCCGCCATTTAGCTGGAATATGGGTGAGTGCGGCGTTAAACAACAAACCATCCAACCAATCAACTCCGGCCTATGGATACCTGAAGTAATGTCCCCTCCAGTCAGTGCCCCGCCCACTTCCTACCATTGAAAATAAATAAGAAACAATATTTTAAACACTTGAAAAGTAAGCCTGGCCATAACGCCATGTGCGTGGGAAGACTACAAACAAAAATAGCATAGGCCTTTAAGTCATAAACAGTTTAATGTTTGCTTAACATGCGATATTGATTTTGATTCCCCGAAACAAATGTTATTGACAACGCACGATAAGGGCCCAAATTTTACAATCACCATCGCGAACTCTGGACATATAACTTGTGTTGTCATAGATGTGTTCCATGCGTATTCGTATACATTTTTTAAAGGTACATACCATTTTTAGATAAAAAACGTATTTTTTGGAAAAGTTGGTTGGTTTGGTTTGTTGTTTAACGCAATATTGCAGCTACATGGCGGCGGTCTGTAAATAATCGAGTCTGGACCAGACAATCCAGTGATCAACAGCATGAGCATCAATCTACGCAACTAAGATACGATAACATGTGTCAAGCAAAAGTGTTACATTGGATCGTCGTGTAAGGTAATCAGAAAATATTATTTATAATCGTAAATGCTAATACATGTTTCGGACTAGCAGTGTGTAAGAGACAAGTGGACCGGCATAGAGATGAACGTGATGGGGTGGGTTCTCCCCAGTCATGATATTTGACATGGTTGCACGAGGTTGTGTATGATCTATGGTATGGTAAAGCAATGGCTTTCAAGGTAATGAAGGCAAAGAGGCATGTGGTTTATAGTATGCATTGAAACCTCGTTAGTTCGGACCATCTATTGTCTGACATACGTCCCTCTGAGTTAAAGACGTATTGTCTTACATAATTTCCTTTAACGAGTTAACGATTAATGTCTTATAAATGTACCTGCTACAAGTTTAGGACTTGTAGTCATATGTGGGGCGGTGGGGTAACCTAATGGTTAAAGCGTCTGCTCGTCACGCTGAAGAGCCGGGTTCGATTTCCCACATGGGTACAATGTGTGAAGCCCATTTCCGGTGTCCCCGCCGCGATATTGCTGGAATATTGCTAAAAATGGCGTAAAACCATACTCACTCACTCTAGAATTTTGACGATAACACAGACCTTACACACGCATGCACGTCGTCATATGAGCGGGGGCGGTGGGGTAGCCCAGTGGTTAAAGCGTTGGCTCGTCACGCCGAAGACCCGGGTTCGATTCCCCACATGGGCACAATGTGTTAAGCCCATTTCTGGTGTCCCCCGCCGTGATATTGCTGGAATATTGCTAAAAGCGGCGTTAAACTAAACTCAGTCAGTCAGTCAGTCATATGAGCGAAATATTCTCAAGCACGACGTTAAACCCAATTCCACCACCACCACAGACCTTTAAAACACCTGTAAGTCGATATGGGTTCGACAATCAAGAGGCCAAGTGGCCTTGACATGCGTTGGTCCCGGTATTATTTGCACGGAGCGATAAGACGATGACATAAATTCGCTGTAATCATAATGCACATTACACGGGTATTCAGAGCGTATTTTCCGGTAGTTCCTGCCCCGACTGTTCAATCGCTGGAAGGTAAGTAACGTTGTTAACTATAGCTTGTAACTACACCAGTAGTGTTTGTCATGGAATACTGTATAACTAAAACAACTAAAACAACTATAGTTCATGGATTGAGTGTACCTTTTGCTAACCTATGCATTGTGTACGCTGACTATTCTCGTATAAGTGTTGACTGTTTGGAAGGAGAACCCCGTGTAGCCGACATATCCGGATCACACACGGGGATATCAGTACGGTAAATACTGATATCATGATATGTCATCACACAAGCATGTTTGACCTGTAAATGACAGATTAGAATCTGCATGTTGATTAGAGAAAGTGGTGTGTACAGAGAATGTATTTTTTCATCTTAGGTAGTTCGTTGGTTTAACTCCGCACTCAGCAATATTCCAGCTATATGGCGGCTGTCTGTAAATAATTGATTCTGGACAAAGCAATCCAGTGATCAACATCATGAGCATCGATCTAAGCAATTGGGATACAAAAACACGCGTCAACCAAGTCAGCGAGCCTGACCACCCGATCCCGTGGGTTACTGAAGATCAGTTCCAACCGGCATCTTTACAGCTCTCTTAGTTAGTATTTAGATTTGGCATTAGGGTACACCTGTGATGGGGATCAGGGTACACCTGTGATGAGGGATCAGGGTTCACCTGTGATGAGGGATCAGGGTTCACCTGTGATGAGGGATCAGGGTACACCTGTGATGAGGGATCAGGTACACCTGTGATGAGGGATCAGGTACACCTGTGATGAGGGATCAGGGGTCACCTGTGATGAGGGATCAGGGTACACCTGTGATGGGGGATCAGGTACACCTGTGATGGGGGATCGGGGTACACCTGTGATGGGGGATCAGGGTACACCTGTGATGAGGGATCAGGGTTCACCTGTGATGAGGAATCAGGGTACACCTGTGATGAGGGATTAGGATTCACCTCTGATGAGGGATAAGGGTACACCTATGATGAGGGATCAGGGTACACCTGTGATGAGGGATCAGGGTTCACCTGTGATGCGGGATCAGGGTACACCTCTCATGAGGGATCAGGGTGCACCTGTGATGAGGGATCCGGGAACACGTATGTTGAGGGATCCGGGTACACCTGTGATGAGGGATCAGGGTACACCTCTGATGAGGGATCAGGGTACACCTGTGATGAGGGATCCGGGAACACGTATGTTGAGGGATCCGGGTACACCTGTGATGAGGGATCAGGGTACACCTGTGATGAGGAATCAGGGTACACGTGTGAAGAGGGATCAGGTACACCTGCGATGAGGGATCAGGGTTCACCTGTGATGAGGAATTAGGATTCACCTGTGATGAGGGATCAGGGTACACCTGTGATGAGGGATCAGGGTACACCTGTGATGAGGGATCAGGGTACACCTGTGATGAGGAATCAGGGTACACCTGTGATGAGGGATCAGGGTACACCTCTGATGAGGGATCAGGGTACACCTGTGTTGAGGGATCAGGGTACACCTGTGATGAGGGATCAGGATACACCTGTGATGAGGGATCAGGGTACACCTGTGATGAGGAATCAGGGTTCACCTGTGATGAGGGATCAGGGTTCACCTGTGATGAGGGATCAGGGTACACCTATGATGAGGGATCAGGTACACCTGTGATGAGGGATCAGGTACACCTGTGATGAGGGATCAGGGGTCACCTGTGATGAGGGATCAGGGTACACCTGTGATGGGGGATCGGGGTACACCTGTGATGGGGGATCGGGGTACACCTGTGATGAGGGATCAGGGTACACCTGTGATGAGGAATCAGGGTACACGTGTGAAGAGGGATCAGGTACACCTGTGATGAGGGATCAGGGTTCACCTCTGATGAGGAATTAGGGTTCACCTGTGATGAGGGATGAGGATTCACCTGTGATGAGGGATCAGGGTACACCTGTGATGAGAGATCAGGGTACACCTGTGATGAGGGATCAGGGTACACCTGTGATGAGGAATCAGGGTACACCTGTGATGAGGGATCAGGGTACACCTCTGATGAGGGATCAGGGTACACCTGTGTTGAGGGATCAGGGTACACCTGTGATGAGGGATCAGGATACACCTGTGATGAGGGATCAGGGTACACCTGTGATGAGGAATCAGGGTTCACCTGTGATGAGGGATCAGGGTTCACCTGTGATGAGGGATCAGGGTACACCTATGATGAGGGATCAGGTACACCTGTGATGAGGATCAGGTACACCTGTGATGAGGGATCAGGGGTCACCTGTGATGAGGGATCAGGGTACACCTGTGATGAGGGATCAGGGGTTCACCTGTGATGGGGATCAGGGGTACACCTGTGATGAGGGATCAGGGTACACCTGTGATGAGGGATCAGGGTTCACCTGTGATGAGGGAATCAGGGTACACCTGTGATGAGGGCATCAGGGTTCACCTGTGATGAGGGATCAGGGTACACCTGTGATGAGGGATCAGGGTTCACCTGTGATGAGGGGATCAGGGTACACCTCTGATGAGGGATCAGGGTACACCTGTGATGAGGGATCCAGGAACACGTATGTGATGAGGGATCCGGGTACACCTGTGATGAGGGATCAGGGTACACCTGTGATGAGGGATCAGGGTTCACCTGTGATGAGGGATCAGGGTACACCTCTGATGAGGGATCAGGGTACACCCAGTTATGAGGGATCCGGGAACACGTATGTTGAGGGATCCAGGTACACACCTGTGATGAGGGATCAGGGTACACCTGTGATGAGGAATCAGGGTACACGTGTGATGAGAGGGATCAGGTACACCTGTGATGAGGGATCAGGGTTCACCTGTGATGAGGAATCAGGGTTCACCTGTGATGAGGGATTAGGATTCACCTGTGATGAGGGATCAGGGTACACCTGTGATGAGGGATCAGGGTACACCTGTGATGAGGAATCAGGGTACACCTGTGATGAGGGATCAGGTACACCTGTGATGAGGGATCAGGGTCACCTGTGATGAGGGATCAGGGTACACCTCTGATGAGGGATCAGGGTACACCTGTGTTGAGGGATCAGGGTACACCTGTGATGAGGGATCAGGATACACCTGTGATGAGGGATCAGGGTACACCTGTGATGAGGAATCAGGCTACACGTGTGTTGAGGGATCAGGGTACACCTGTGATGAGGGATCAGGGTTCACCTGTGATGAGGGATCAGGGTTCACCTGTGATGAGGGATCAGGTACACCTGTGATGAGGGATCAGGGTTCACCTGTGATGAGGAATCAGGGAACACCTGTGATGAGGGATCAGGGTTCACCTGTGATGAGGAATCAGGGTACACGTGTGATGAGGGATCAGGTACACCCTGTGATGAGGGATCAGGGTTCACCTGTGATGAGGGAATCAGAGTTCACCTGTGATGAGGGATCAGGATTCACCTGTGATGAGGGATCAGGGTACACCTGTGATGAAAGATCAGGGTACACCTGTGATGAGGAATCAGGGTATACCTGTGATAAGGGATCAGGTACACCTGTGATGAGGGATCAGGGTTCACCTGTGATGAGGGATCAGGGTACACCTCTGATGAGGGATCAGGGTACACCTGTGTTGAGGGATCAGGGTACACCTGTGATGAGGGATCAGGGTACACCTGTGATGAGGGATCAGGGTACACCTGTGATGAGGAATCAGGGTACACGTGTGTTGAGGATCCAGGGCACACCTGTGATGAGGGATCAGGGTTCACCTGTGATGAGGGATCAGGGTTCACCTGTGATGAGGGATCAGGGACACCTGTGATGAGGAATCAGGGTTCACCTGTGATGAGGGATCAGGGTTCACCTGTGATGAGGGATCAGGATTCACTTGTGATGAAAGATCAAGGTACACCTGTGTTGAGGAATCAGGGAACACCTGTGATGAGGGATCATGGTTCACCTGTGATGAGGAATCAGGGTACACCTGTGATGGGGGATCAGGGTTCACCTGTGATGAGGCAGTAGGGTACACCTGTGATGAGGGATCAGGGTACACCTGTGATGGGGGATCAGGGTTTATTTGAGATGGGGGATCAGCGTACACCTGTGATGAGGAATCAGGGTTCACCTGTGATGAGGGATCAGATACACCTGTGATGAGGGATCAGGGTACACCTGTGATGAGGGATCAGGGTTTACCTGTGATGAGGCAGTAGGGTACACCTGTGATGAGGAATCAGGGTTCACCTGTGATGAGGGATCAGGGTTCACCTGTGATGAGGGATCAGGGTACACCTATGATGAGGAATCAGGGTACACCTGTGATGAGGGATCAGGGTACACCTCTGATGAGGGGATCAGGGCACACCCAGTTGAGGGATCAGGGTACACCTGTGATGAGGGATCAGGATACACCTGCAGATGAGGGATCAGGGTGTACACCTGTGATGAGGAATCAGGAGTTCACCTGTGATGAGGGATCAGGGTTCACCTGTGATGAGGGATCAGGGTACACCTATGATGAGGGATCAGGTACACCTGTGATGAGGGATCAGGTACACCTGTGATGAGGGATCAGGGGTCACCTGTGATGAGGGATCAGGGTACACCTGTGATGGGGGATCGGGGTACACCTGTGATGGGGGATCGGGGTACACCTGTGATGAGGGATCAGGGTACACCTGTGATGAGGGATCAGGGTTCACCTGTGATGAGGAATCAGGGTACACCTGTGATGAGGCATTAGGATTCACCTGTGATGAGGGATCAGGGTACACCTGTGATGAGGGATCAGGGTTCACCTGTGATGAGGGATCAGGGTACACCTCTGATGAGGGATCAGGGTACACCTGTGATGAGGGATCCGGGAACACGTATGTTGAGGGATCCGGGTACACCTGTGATGAGGGATCAGGGTACACCTGTGATGAGGGATCAGGGTTCACCTGTGATGAGGGATCAGGGTACACCTCTGATGAGGGATCAGGGTACACCTGTTATGAGGGATCCGGGAACACGTATGTTGAGGGATCCGGGTACACCTGTGATGAGGGATC